AACATACGTGTAGAATATCATCATACATGTAAAATGACACCGTACATGTCATCATACATGTGAGCTGTCATCATGCATGTACAATTATACATGTATTATTTTAAATATAAACTGTCATCAAACATGTACGATCACACATGTAAACTAAATACAAAAGATTATTTTTCTCCTTAAATTAAAATTTTTACGAGCAGGTCCAGTCCATCAGGTTTGATTGAGGCTTTTAATGTGAAGAGTTAGTCTGAGTTCCTGTAGCAGGTGACGCTCAGGGGGGAGGAGCTAACTCCAACATTTCATTTGAACAAGTTTCACACGTGACGTGAAGGTGTTTCAGACTCACTCACAACTTCCTGTCTGTTCAAGGTGACTTCCTGTGAACTGGTGAGTTAGCTCCTCCTGTTAGCATTGATGTAGCGACTCGGCAGCGAGGAAAAGGTGTTTGCAGAGCGACAGGATGTGTTTTACATCTTGAAGTTAGATTATTTTCTTATGTGAGCTATATTTAGTATATGTAACTTTCATACAGGCAGCACAGGGAGAGGGAACATTATCACACTGGTTTATATAAAGTTTAACACTGACTGCAGGATTTTGTCATTTGTTTTATTGTATCTGCTACAGGACAGGCCTCAGGCCGACACACACACACACACACACACACACACAGATGTGTCGACTTAGTCCAGATGTTGAATCCCGCTAATCAAACTCCAGCAGTGACTTCAGTCAGACGATAAAAGATTCAGTTGTTCTGCTTCAGTTCCTCGTTGTCAGAAAATATTTTTAAAGGCAAACTCAACACCTTTTACTTTTAGTCTGTCTTTTAATTTATTTGATTTAAATTCAATTAAGAATGTTTTTTAAATATATAATTTTATTCCATCTCCTTTAGTCATGTAATGATTTACTCAGAATTGTTTTCAGGTTGATCCTCTCTGGTTTTACTAGCTCCTCTTTTAGTGTCTAACCATAATTTCATTTTGATCCTTCTCACATCTCTCATAACTTTTTATCATTTTATCTTTATCCTTTTATTCTGTTACTGCTACTTGATCCTCTGATCAAATGATCAACGATGGAACAAAACTAATGTTGTTTGAAAGGAGACGAACTGCAGCTTGATCTCTGTCTTTATTTGAGGTAAAGAAGGTTTCAGACGGAGCTGAACACGTCTCAACGTCTGAGGATTTCATCCAGACGCCAAAATGAAAAGCCCTTAACTGTTAAAAACTGTTCAAACTGCTGGAAAGAAAAACAACAATCAGTCTGATGGGAACAGTATTTCAGACAAAAACAACGGTGAATCGTCAGCTGTCGAGAATCAAACAAATAAAAGTCGTCTCACTCCAAAAGAATAAAAAAATATCAAACATTTAAAAAAAGAAAACACGTGGAACAGACACTGAGTTTCTGACGTCGAGTAGAAAAAACAAGAAGAGACAAAAAAAGGCTTTTCACTTCATTGTCCGTCACTGATGAGGATGAATGTTCATAAAGTCTAAGAAATATTTTCCTCCACACGTGTCAGGAACACATCATTCAACAGTGGTGAAATAAAAACACACGTGACAGAATCACACGTTTGAACACGGATGGTTCAGTTCTGACCCGATTGAAACCACACAGAGTTTCACATCAGTGACACGATGCTGCTGCAGATAAACTCTGATCAAAGTTATAATTTACAGAAAAATATTCATTTACTGCAAGAAAATAAGAAATGAATACGTTTGTTAAAATCCAGAAGAAAAACGGAGGAAAGAAGAAACATGTCTGATTTAAACTTCAGCTGAAAGTAAATTAAATCTGTTTTAAATTTACATCAGGAAACTTTTTAATACGACTATAAAATTAATTGGATAATACATTTGCATAAACATTTTAAAAAGCATCTGTGAATCAATTGAAATTCTTCTCCTTCATTTAAAGTCAAGTCATTTATCTTTATGTACAAATGTTCACAAAGTTCAAAAACCTCATTCAAAGTTTTATAAAACTACAGAACAACCTGGAAAACCAAACAACGCACAACCGCACAAGTGCATTGTGGGTATAGATCAGCGGTTTGATTGACTTTGTGGCCCCCGGCCTCTCGGGCCCCTCAGGCTCCGGTTCAGGATCCTCAGTGTCAAACTACAAAAAGGAAGTGTCGCCACGACGACTTGTCTGTTATCTTTCCCTTGACTTTTCTCTTTATCTCTATTTGCTATTTTTATTCTTCCTTTCCCTTCTTCCTCCATTTATCGTTCTTACTCTCTTTCTTCTGAACCACTCACGTTTATGTTTTCTCTTTCTTCTCTCTTCATCCTGATTTTTCCCTTATTTCCTATTTTGCTAAATTTGTATCTTCTTTCTCTGATCTCCTCTTTCTCCTTGTTCCTTCCTTTATTTTTTCTGTCTTCATCCTTCCTTCATTAATTTAAAATGTTTCCTTCTTGTTTTCATTTTCTTTCTCTCTCCATTCTTTCTTGTCCCTACTTCCTGTTTCTTCATCCTTCTATTTCCGATACTTTGTTTTATTCTATTCTTTCATTTTTCTTCCATCCATTCTTTTGCACCCCTCCCTCCTTAGTTCCTCTTCTCCTTCTTCTTCCCTTTTTCTCCTGCCTCCATCACTTCCCTTTTTATTAGCTTCTTTCGTCTCTTCCTCCACTTTGACCTTTAACCCCTCAAACTCACACAATTTGGCTTTTGGCAGTTTTAATTAAACCCCACCCCTTTCTCTCTCTTCTCTTCTGATTGGTCAAATGTCTTTCAATCAAACCCAGACAGGCTACAGATGTCCCGCCTCTCTCGGTCCTATTTAACCTTGATTGGTCCAGAAGTTCAAAATGATGTCACGCAGGTCATCTCGTCAGCCAGTTCATCCTCGTCGCGACCCGTCCTGATTGGCTCCTCGTCGCTGTAGAGAGCGGCGGGGTCGGCGGCAGCGGTGTTGCTAAGTAAACTGTGGCTCGCTGATCCGAGCAGGTCACTGGCAGCGGACTCCATCTCATCCACCGTCATGTGACATGCATCTGCGATCTCTCGCTTTGCAAACGCCACGAACTTAGGATCCCGAGCGTAAAGACCGAGACCTTCAGAGATCAGAACCTGACGAGAGAAGAAAGAATCAGTGACGTCCGACAATCAAACATAAATATCAGATCGAAACAACAATCAACATCTCCTCACCGCCTCAACCAGACTGTCGGCTGATCCTCGTTTCTCTGTGAACTGAGCTCCGAGCTGAGAGGGAACTCTGAGCGTGGTGTAAGCCCGGTATGGCGGCGGCGGCGGCGGCGCTGAGGGAGAACAGCAAAACGTTCATGTAACATTTAGAACAAGAGCCTTTCACATCTAGGGCCAAAGGGAAAGGAATTGAGACAGGACCAAACTTTGTCCGTCCTTCTTACCTGATGTCCCTGCAGGGTCACCGTACCACGCCGGTCTGGGTTCTGCTCCTGTCACACTGACCCCTGGTGGACAAAAAATATCAACAAACCTGCTGAGCTTGCTGAGCGACGGCAGCATCACAACAACACGACTGTGGAGCGTCAGCTGCTGAGCTGTTAGCATAGAAGCTAAAAACGTGTCATACGATGGAGTTAAAGAAGTGAAAACAGCCTCCTCACCTCTTCCTGCTTCTCCCTTTTTCCTTTCCCCCCCTGGTCCTCCTCCCCCCCAGGCCGGACTGCCTTCCTCCTCCACCAGGATGAGAGGAGCGTAGAGGAGGCGTCCACGACGAGGACACGGGTTCGCCCAGGATGTCGAGGAGGTCGGCATGGGGCGGCCGGAAGAGTGATGAGTCTCATAACTGCTGAACGTCTGAGGAGGCAGAGGGGGTGGGGGGGATATATATGTTACTGAAGAGCAGGGCAGATGTGTGTGTGTCAGACATGATTCACCTGTGTACACATGCTAATGTTACCTGTGTGCGTGTGCGGCGTGGCGGCGAGGTGGGGTGGTACGTTCCAGGGATGGGCAGGTCATCACTGCTCCCCTGCCTCCTCAGACACTGGATGTTAAACGACGGTTTCCGACCTGACGAGGGGAAACAAAGCAAGATAGATATAAATAATGAAATCACTGTATGTTTTTAGGAAGCGGGGAGGATTGTGGGATATCCTCTCACCTGTGGGTGTAGCAGGAAGTAGGCGTCTCCGTGTCGTCCTCCTGCTCTCGCTGTACCCGTTACCATAGCTATTGTTGGTGTAGGGGGCGTGGCCATTGTAGTGGTCTCTGTACATTCGAGGCTCGTCAGGGTAATGTCTGAAAAACACACAAGTTAAACACACACACACACAAATCACACGCACATGCACACGCACGTACACACACACACACGAGTCACCTGTCCCTGGAGGTGATGCTGTCGTTGTCTTCCTCTCTGCTGTAGTAACCTTGCTCTCCGTACGTCTCCATGTCCCCGTTCCTCCAGTATCTGTCCCTCGAGTCCCTCCTGCCAAAAACCAAGAGCGTGATTGGCTGAGGCACCTGTCAATCAAGACTGGGAGCCCAACAGCCTCCTCCATGTTTGTCAGGGGCGTGTCGACCTACCTTCCATGTTTGTAGTATGACGGTCTCTTGTGGGCGCGGTCCAGGAGACCATTCTTCTCTGATGGGCGTCGCTGATGATGATGATTGAAAGATGACCTCATGTTGTCTCCACGGTGAAGATTTTCGTCGTGGTCGCTGCCATTTGGCATCTTAGTGAGAGAACCGACCCGGTGGATCAGGCCCCCATTAGACACGCCCACGTCTCCGACTACACCGCCAGGACCTGCAGAGGAACGACACTGATGAGTTGCTATGGAGACTTAATTTCACTGTTGATTTGAACTAACACGATGAGGTCACATGATGAGGTCACATGATGAGATCATACCTGTGGGCGTGGTCAGGATGGAGCCTCGCCGATCTCTCTCTGGCCCAAATCCATTTTCACCCTGAGAGGTCACAGACAAGAGAATCAGATTGTGACCTTTGACCTCACGTTAAAGGTCAGAGGTCATGTATGTGGGGGCGTGTTCATAAAGACCTTGTAAGCAGCGTTCTCCTCCTGCTCCTCGTCCTCTATCATGGCGTCCTCCTCCTCCTCGTCCTCGTCCATGTCCTCGTTCAGAGCCAGACGCATCTCTGGACCCAGATCCTGCAGCGTCTTCAGACCGGCTTTACACAACTACACACACACAAATGCACAGATTACAATCAGGTATAGACAGACACAGACAGACAGACACAGACGGGTACAGACAGGTACAGACACAGACAGGTACAGACAGGTACAGACACAGACAGGTACAGACAGACAGACACAGACAGACAGGTATAGACAGACCTGTACAGCAGACGTGTTGGTGGCGTCGGGCTCTCCGGTCAAAGTACCCTTCTCCTTCCTCTTCCTAAACTTCCTGAAATAATCCTGGATCAGAAACGTTGCGTAAAACTTTCCGACGGTAACTTCCTCCTCTGCAGAGACATGAGATGAGACATGAGATGAGACGTTGGTGCTGAGCGGTACAAGTCTTGTGGTCAGCAGTGGAACTGCAACTCGGGCTCAAACTACCAGGATTAATAATACCTTCATGTGGTGGAATCACTTCGTCCAGTAGTTTTGGTTTCATTCTTTTCCAGATCTTCTTGATAATCCCCCTCAGCTCCTCGTTCTCCTGATCAGGGTTACCTAGCAACAGCACACGGTGGGAGTGTTCAGACATAAACGATGACACTATTAAGCAGGACTCAGACGTACGTTTTGGAGGCTTCAACAGAAACACTGCTCGATCATTTTTAATTTGGTGATGTCACGCGCTGAAAGAGAGGTGGAGTCAGCTGGTGGTCATTGAGTCGTGGCAGCTAGCATGGTACGTTAGCATGAAAGACGGTTTTATTGTGTGTCCTGAGCATGAAACTGTGACGATCACGCCAAGCACCAAGCATCAGGCATCTCCAGCGTCAAAACACAGAACTTTAATCAGCTGTGAGGACAAAACCCGGCGGACGTGAATGTAAATAAAACAATTACATTCTCTCACCAGGAGGAGAAAGTTTCCTCTGACCTGTGAACGAATCACTTTCTTTAAAGTTCATCTGTTATGATGATGGTGATGATCAACTGTAAGCATCAAGTTTGATAGAGATGAAGCAGACGGAGTCGTGTTGTCGTGACGTTAGCAGGTATCAGTTACCTTCAGTCTTGATCTTGAGCGCAGTGCGAACCAGAGCGAAGAGCGTAGCGTTGAAGGTCACCATCCCGTCAGCGTTCAGAGGCATGTTCATCGCGACCAGACGCTGACGGACAGAAAGAGAAATATGAGGTTAACAGGAAACAGTTTTCTGGCGGTGACTGAGACTCAAACAGACAGAGGCCCTGAGGGACACCAGCAATAAAACATGTGTGTGACAGAGCACATGTGTGTGACAGAGCACATGTGTGTGACAGAGCACATGTGTGTGACAGAGCACATGTGTGTGACAGAGCACATG